TTCCTCTGGGATTAAAGTTGATGACAACAGATTTCTAACGGTTGTACAGTATTTCATATTAAACCATTCTCCTAGCTAAGCATTTGAGTGGTTTCCAAATTTTTGCTGTTATAAATTAACTCTGAGACAAATGGCTTTTTATGTTAACTTTTCTGACTCCTCTGTTTATTTTCTCAGGGAAAATTTACAGAAGTTGAATTACTGGGTCAAAAAGTATGAAATTCATCAGAGTTCTTGGTATATATTAGATCCTTAGCTTCTAAAGTCCTGATTTTTAGACTTGCATTCACTTTTCAGTAATAGTCTATAAGTTACTTCTTACATTATTAAGGCTTTTCAGGGAAAGAAGTCATAATTATTCTACTTTCATAATTATCAATGAAGTATCTTACTACTAACATTCCATTATGCGACTGGGGAAAAAAAATCTATAACTGAAAGGTGATATTCATGATTTAATGAATCTTTTAATTTATTAAGGAATTAAAAAATAATAGATGTTAATTTGAGGAGAGTGTATAAATGTTCAGATTTTTGAAGCAGATTGAGGAAAATTTGTTTATCCGTAGATTTTCCACTAGAAATAGAAAATTATAAAAGTGATTTTCCAAATTGCTGGAAGATGCATACAGCTACTTTCATGATTTTTAATGATGAGGCTAAGACTGGTGCTTTTGAAATCTCTAATTAATGAGTCAATCAAAGTAAGCCTTATCATGCTATCTGCCAGAAATCACACATTTTACCTACACAGTTGTAGAATTTTTACTTGTGATTAAAAAAAAATCCACATAAAAGTAAAAACATCCTTCGGAGGGCAGTATTTTCTTTCATTATTTCTGCTTCTAATTAAGGAGATATTATGGCTTTGCATTGGTTTTGGAGGGAGATACTCTTGGTTTCAAATTCTGACTCTGAAATTTCTTAGTTGAGTAAACTTGGGCAAAAGCCTGGTGTAGTATGTATCATCTTCATTTTACATACTGGAACCTGAGGCTTAGAGAGATTAAGTAGGATAGTATATGTGAAGCACTATTAGCAGAGTGGGTGCCCATAAAGGGCATTCAGTAATTGGTAGCTATTATTAAGAGGAATGACAATAACAACAATCTGTATGCAACAAACACTGGGATTTTTTTTATTAACCAATCTGGAAATCTTTATATTTTAGTGGGAGTGTTTAGTCCTCTTATATTTAATGAAGTTAATCTAAATACTGATCATTTGGGGTTAAATCTACTATTTGTTCCAGAAATTCTTTATTTCTTGCCCTTTTTAATTAATATTTGTTATTCCATTCCTCACTACTATTAGCTTGTTAGTTATCCATTCTTTCATAATTATTTCAGTTATTACTCTATGGATTAAAAAATTTATTCATGATTTATAAAAGTCTAATATAGGTTAGTATTTTTACCATTTCCCAGAGAATTCAAGGACCTTAGAACACTTCAACATCATTTATAACCCTTCCATCCTTTGCTTATTTGCTACTGTGTATTTTAATTCTATGGATACAGGCACTCCTTGCTTTGCATGGTTCCAATATGCACAAAGTTCAGTTACCATTATTTAGTTAAATTTAAATAATAACTGTCCCTGACAACATGGTTCAGGTTTCAGTTACCACAATATATTAACTGTAATTGCATGAAATACAAACTTTGCTTTCAGTCCATGCATCACTATGTAAATAACAGACACACGTCATGATAGGTGACCAATGACACCACTTCTTTCAAAGTCATTGGTGATTGGTCACTGAGCATGTTATTCAGTTCATGCAGAAACAATAAAGCATGCAGTTGGATTGCTTCCATATTTCCCAGCGATAAACTCGTGACATTTTATAAAAGTGGATAATTGAAAGAGGGACTTGACCGACAAAGATGGAAATGCAGCAAAGAAACAAAATGTGATAATACTAGAAGTGAAATTTGAATAAAATGTGAACAAAGTCATAAAAGAAATAACTGACCATGGGAATGTTGATACTGCCGCCATTTGAGAGACACTAGATGTTCAGTCACAGGAACTTAGTGAAGGTAAATTATTGACAAAGCAAGAAGCTGTCCCCAAAGAAATGATGCTGGTAAAAATATTCAGGGTAAAGGAACTCTTAGAAATGTTTTATGATATTGAAAGAACAAAGGATTCAATATTAGAAGCTGATCCAGACCTAGAAAGAAGTATGACAATTTGCCAAGTCATTAAAAAGATGTTTTCTTGTAACTTATACAACAAAGAGAAAAAGGCAAGTACTACTCCAACTGCTCTTCATAAGTTTTTACAAAGAAATAAAACATTTTATTTCTAAATATTTATAATGTTTAAATTATAGTATGCTAAATAAATATTAGTTTTACTATTTTTTACACTCCTATACACTCATCACCAACAGTAAGAGCAATTTTAATGTTTTGACAAAAATTTTTAAAAGTCACAAAACAATCGTCATTTTTTTTATTGATTATTCAGATTGCTTTGACAGTTTCAGCATGCACTGTTTTACGATTCTGTGCTCATGCGGAGCAGGGATTGCCTGTATTTTAAACCCAGAAGACATTTTTTGTTTTGTGCAGCAGGGTTCATTAATATTTACCTTTCCTGTTTCTTGTCATTTCCTCCTACAGGATCATTTTCCTTTTGCTTTAAAAATTCTGTTTAGCAGTTTCTTTAATATGAGCCTAATGGTGATAGATTCTCTCATTTTTTGTTTGCTTGATATGTCTTTCTTTTGCCTTCAATTTTGAAGAATCTTTTTGTTGAGCTGGCAGATATTTGCTGTTGTTATTTTCATTGTTTTGCTCTTTGTAGATATCTTTCTATTGCTTTATGGCTTCTATCATTTCTGTTGAGAAGTCAGCTATCAGTCTTCTTTTTACTTCATTGAAAGTATTATGTATTTTTTTCCTCTGGCTGCTTTTTATGATTTTCTTTTTGTCTTGAATTTTTAGCACTTTTAATATGGTGTGCCTTGATATGGTTTTCTTTGTATTTATCCTTTTGGGCTTTGCAGTACTTTTTACATTTATGACTTGATGTCTCTTATGAGTTTTGGAAAATTCTCTTCAAATATTGCTTCTCCCAATCTTTCTTCTTTTCTTGGGGTCCATTATAGGCGTGTAGACTATTTACTGTGCCATATATTTCTTATTTTCTTTTTCTCTCCATGCTTCAGGCTGGATATATTCTTCTGACCTATCTTCTAGGTTTCTAATTCTCGTTTGAGCTGTGTTTAATCTGTTGTTAAACTCATACATTTAGATTTTATTTTAGTTATTGAAGTTTTAAGTTCTAGAGTTTCCATTTAATCCTTTTTAAAAATAGTTTCCAGTTCTATTCTGAAATCTGTATCTTGCCATTTAAATTTTTGAATGTTTTAATTATAGTTATTTTAAAGTCTATGTCTGATAATTCCAATATGTGAATCTCCTGCGGATCTTTCTCTGTTGTCTGTTTTCTTCTCTTGAAATTTTTCCATAAATTCTTGTTTCGTTTTTTTAAAAAAGTTTGGGGTATGCTTGGTTATTTTTTATTGATTCAAAGCTGGATTTAGTATTTGTGAGGGCTCATCTGTTTCCCATTATCCCATACTTCTAAGATGAAGCTCTTTAGGGAATCCCAGATAAAATTCTGAGGTGTTACTAGGAGCCACCCTGCTTTGTAAACCCTGAACTCCAATTTTTATTTCTCTAGCCCTATGAGACTGCCTAAACCTCTAGCCAGTCCATCAGCCTTTCAGCTATTGCATACAAGTCAGCAAATACCTCAAGGGGAAAATGATCAAATGTTGTTTTGGGATTTCTTCTTTCCCCTCAAGTTCTTGCTGCCATCATAACACTCAAATACCTTCAAATAGCTTTTTTTTTTTAATCAGGCTCCTCTGTTGTTCTCAGACTGATGGTTGATCTGATAATGTAAGCTAGCCTACCATAGCTGGAAACAATTTTCTGGGTCTCAGTATTCTTGAAGCAGCATAATGTAGTGCATAGGGAAAGAATTTTTGAGTCAGTTGTTTATGGCATAAAAATTCTGGTCCTGTTCCTTAGTACTGTGTGACCTAGGAAAACATTTTCAGCCTCGCTGCATTTATGTTTTTCTTATATTAATGTAGAAATAATAATCTCTACCTCACATGGTTGTTTTTTGAGTGTTAAATGAGGGTTAAATAAAGTATATAAACTATTTAGCATAATGTTTAGAACATACTAAGTATTTGTAGATGATTGGTATTTTTGGTTCTTCATTAAGAAATAGAATTAATATTTCATAATATGTGGCTGCTTAAAAGAATGTAGTGTGATTATGTAAAATTTTGTATAGGTTGTAATGTACTAGAGAAAAGCACCAGAGTAATTATTTTGATGTGTATTGATTGGTTTTTATGTCTAGGCACTGTGCTAAATGCTTCCATGCATTGTATCATTCAATATTTATATAACCAAATGAAACTGGAACTCTTACTACTCTTATTTTACAAATGAGGAAACTAAGGCTAGGAAAGATTGCCTGACTTGTCCAGGATTAGATAGTGAGTAGGCAGAGACGCCAGAAGTCAAAACCAACTCTCACCTACTCCAAAGCCAGAGTTCTTAACCCCACTCCTGATCTAATCTCACAAAACTACGTTTCTCTTTCCTAATTAAGGAAAAAATGTTAGTTTTGTAGAATCTTGCACAGACCCTGGAATCAAGTAGGTAGTCAGTAAATATTTACTGACTCACCAACATCCACACCAATAAAATCTGCTGTCACAGTAGTAACCAAATGAAATGACAATTCAGAGAGGACTTCTAATCTGGTCTTTGACTTCCAATCATGGAAGTGACAATTGGGATGGATTAACATAAACTGAGAGTGAGAACAAGAATTTAATCATAAACAGAAATTTTGACTCATGATCTAGAAACCAGCTGTTATTGCCACCTGGAGCCTCCAAATTATCAATCAAGAGTGGTTGTGGGTGGAGTCTATGCTGTACCGTTTGTTGTACTTACATGTGAGTCATTTTACTCAAATTGTAGAAGGAATGTGATTCCAGCCGCTGCAGACTTGTGTCTATTGATAAATAGCTGAACGTCACAAAAATATAAGACAAAGTAGAAAGTTAGTAGGGTTGTGACATCCAAATTTACTCTTAATTTTCATGTAACTTCTTTGTGAGGGGCCTCCCAGATCATGCAACATGCACAACTCTCATTGTTTCTCCCCAATTATATTAAAATTAGTTACTACTTTTTTAAGGATCCCATGTTACCTAAAAGTTTCCCAATACTTTAAGTTCTATTCATCCTTCGGGTTTATTCAGCTTACTTCACAATGTTTCCCCAATTTCCTGATTAGGTCAAATTTCCCATAGTATATCCTCAAAGCACTATGAACTTCTCCTTTCACTAATTGTCACCATGCAAATATCCAACTGTTTGGATGGTATTTGAATTATGCTGTCTCATGTTACTATGAGTTCTCTGAAATGGAGAACAGTGTCTGTTTTTGGTGGCCAGTGAATCTTGAGTGCCTTTCATAGTGTATGACATGTGGTACATCAGTAAATGTGTTAAGTGAATGAATGAATGAATGAATACATGAGTTACTCAAAATAGCAGAAAATGAAAGACATTAGAAAAGAACAAAAGAATGGAAAAGAGGCATTTTTAATGTAGTACCTAATGGCATGGGATTAGAAATATAGTTTCAAAGAAGATAAAGAGAAATCCACAAGTCTTTAGTAGAACATTCCATACGGTAGTGACTAAATATCCTCTCAAGACTTCTCTTCTTGATTTTGATGAAGCTGAAAAGTCATGATTCATCTTGAACTTTGTAAGCAAAAGATAACTCAAATAGAAGTTTTAAGGGGCCAGCCTGGTGGTGCCCCGGTTGAGTTCACGTGTTCCGCTTCAGTGGCCCGGGGTTTGCTGGTTCAGATTCCTGGTGTGGACTTACGCACTGCTTGTCAAGCCATGCTGTGGCAGGCATCTCACATATAAAGTAGAGGAAGATGGGCATGGGTGTTAGGTCAGGGCCAGTCTTCCTCGGCAAAAAGAAGAGGATTGGTGGCAGATGTTAGTTCAGGGCAAATCATTCTCAAAAAAAAAAAAAATTTTAAGTACTAAAGAGAAACCTCTAAATACAACTTGTCAAGAATACATAAGGAATGATGTTTCAAATAGTATCCTCAAATTCCATCTTGTAATGAGAATGACTACTGCAGCCAAACTCAATGACTGCTTTTTATTGAGAGGCATTTCCATGACATTTGGGAAAATTAATGATTAGCAGATGGCATCCACCTGTACCATAGCAGAGATTCTCAACCCTGGCCAAACACTTGAACTACCAGGAAGGTTTTAAAAGACGCAGATGTCTAAGACGAGGGCTAGGATAATTAAACAGAGTTTATGAGGAATGGAGCAAACACTTTTATTTTTACAAAGCTTCCAAGATGATTCTAATGTGCAGGCAAGGTTGAGAACCACTGGTCTATAGTTTGAACTGAATCTGCCAGTAAAATATTTTCAGTAAACAGCATTTGTAAGAGGAGCACTGACTATTCCATTTGAGATTTTATTATGGTTATTATGAGTATTCTAATGGCCCTGTACTTTCTGTTTTGAATTATCTATTCTCTAAACAGTTATCTTTTGATTTTTCAGGTCTCCCAAGCCATTGCCATTTGTGGATAACATTACATAAATTATTTTGATCCAAATATCATATCTCTAACATGGAGTAAACAATGGAAGATGTTGAAAAGAATTAGTTTACAGTGTAGGGAATGCGGAGGTTTATAATGGATGAAGCTGAGCGATCTGAGGGTAAGATTAATTTTGAAGGCTGCAAACTTGTGTTCCTAACTTCGCATCATGTCCATTGTGCCAAATTTTCTTCCAAATTTCTTAGTTTAGAAGTGTGAGGCATTCTCAAGGTTTTATTGTGACTGTCATTCAGCCTATGTGATAATAACCAAAGTTCTAGTTTCTTCAATCAAATGATACCTCCTTAGAGGGCTCTCATAGATCGGCTGTAAAAACAGCACATAGGAGCCATTTATTCAGTGGGATGAAAAGAATGATTCCCTGCTTCTTATCTCATTTTTATAACCAGGAAAAATCAGATCCTACCTCTTCAAGTATCTTCTTAGCACATAAGTCTTATGTAATCAATAGGGTGCCCATACCAAGTATCATCCAAACTAGGATATTTTTGCGAGTTAAAACAGGGTGCTAATCATTATGCCAGAATAATAGATGGGAATTTGTACTGTCCCAGGCAAACTTACCTAGGGTTAACCTGGTGATCTCTCCCTTGCCCCCTAGATATACTAGCCCTTTAACTATTATTCCTGTACATGTGTGTGCTTTCATTCAACAAACATCTATGGAACATCTACTCTATGTGAGTAAATGGGCATTGACAAAACAGACCTGTTCCCTAGCTTCTAGGAGTTCCCAGTAGTGGGAGACACAGAAGGGTAAATGACATTAACATATAGGGTGAAAAGTGCTCTGATGTGGGTCAGGAAATGCTTAACCCAGACTGGAGAATCTAGTCTAGAACAGTCTCCCCGAAGGAAGCTCCAACAGGGCCTTCAAGTCTGCCTGGATGTCCTGTTTATCTCTGTCAACCCTCCGTTTATTGCCCATCACTTTTATTTCAAACCTTCTCAAGCTTCCAACTCTGCCAGCTCCACCCTCAATATTAGTAGATAATCTTTTAATAATTTGTAGAACAGATTGAAACCTTTAGATGAGAATTCCTTGAATTCCCCTCCAATAAGCCTATTAATTTACTCGCACCTGCCCCATCTCTTATATCACTTTCTTTTACATCGTAAATGGTGATCATCTTCTGTAGAGAGTCAATCCCTCTATTTGGATCCCCTCTCCTCCTGCTTCCTCAGGATCTCAGGCTCTTGAAATTGTTCTTTCTTCACTTTTTTTAGCACCTCCCTCTCTACTGACGCCTTTCCCTGGTCCTGCTTACATCTACCTGATTATGACTTATCACTCGCTTAGGAAGGAAACTGGAGGCTCCATGAGTTTTGTCAACTGTTGAAAGCAAAGCATCTAATGAAGTGACAGGCACAAAATATGGCTCAATAAATATTTGTTGAATGAATGTGTAAGCATATCCAAGTGGAGACACCAAGTGGGCAATTTTATAAGGGAATGAGAGAAAAAGGAAGAGCTAAAGGGAAATTTGAAGTTTTTAGCTTACAGGTCACTAAATGGTGGTACTCTTAAAAGGATATAGAATAGAGAAGGAGCAGTTTAGGAGGAAGGTGATGACTTTATTTTGAATATGCTGAGTCTATGGTGCCTGTGGGACATCAAGGTGATGATATTTGGAACGAAGTTTGTAACGCAGGTCTGAATTGTAAAAACAAGTCAGGGCTAGAGATAATCATTTAGGAATTAGTGGTATTAGGTAATAGTGAAGCCAAAGGAGTTGGAGGTGTTCACTCAAGGAGAGGAGTGTACAGAGGAATTAGGACAAAATAAACAAAGGAAGAATCGTATTTAAGGAATTGAGTGAAATGAAATGAAATAAGAAACCAGGAAAGGAGACAGAGGAAGAACAGCCAGGGTAAGAGGATACAAAGAGGGGTGAGAGAACAATATCAAGGAAACCAAAAGAGGAAAGAACTTGAAGAAGGAAGGGCTGGTGAGGAACATTAAAAACTACAGAGATGTTCAGTTAGAATGGTTTCTCGGCCTCAGCACTACTGACATTTGGATAATTCTTTGTTGTGGTGGGTATCCTATGCTTTGTAGGATGTTAGCAGATCCTTTGCCTCTACCTGTTAGCTGTGAGAAGCACCCCCCTCTCTAGTTGTCACAACCAAAAATGTCAAAGGTCCCTCAAAAGACACAATAGACACTCAATAAATCATCACGAAATGAATAAATTTAGCATGAAACTACAGCTTGCTCCTGGTTGTAATGTCATTTGGTGTGCCTGAATTACCTTCGTCGCTTGTCAGAATCAATTAAATGAGATAAAGACCTGGTTCATTTCGTATACAGATACGCTGTTCGTCAACTCAGCATGGAAGTCCTTTTTCTCCTCACTCTGAGTGTATAGAAATTCAGTTTTCTAAGGTTTAGAATTATTTTTAATTCTTTTCTTTTTAAGTGAGAGAAATCAAATCATTGGCTACATTTATGACAAAATGTAAACATTTGTACCAGTCGTGAAAAGTGACTCAAGAATTGGTAACTAGGATGGATAGATTACAGACAGATATGTAAATTGGTTTATGGAAGAGATTCTCAGCTAAGATTTTGCCACATCCCAAGATATATTAAAATACATTAAGAATTATTAAATTCTCAAGGCCAAATGAATTTAAATTTGCTTTAGGTTTAAAAATTATTTAGGAATTAGGAAGTGGAGATAGAGCAAAATCAAAAAAACATCTTGTACATAAAATTTTCACATATATTAGAAATGTAGATGTCATAGCCTTATGCAAGTACAATACACAAGAATTTTCTTGATAGAACACATTTAGGAAATAACATGTCACAATTGCAAAATTCTCTTTATATTAAAAGAAATGACTTACATCCTGGAAATATTCGGCAGATTTGAAAACGCACGACTGGGAATGGTTTTCAGATGAGTCTCTGTAAACTTCCTAAGAAAATAACAGTAACAAAATTAGAGTTTTAACAGTTGGACTTTTCTAATAAATAACCTTAATTATAAAGACAAATTATTAGAAGCATGCTGGTCCTTACAATACATATTTCATCATACGTAATCAACAAAAATAATACTTGATGAGAAAATAAACATACAATTTTTTCCCCAACAAAACAGGAATTGAGAATGAGACTCAAATGCAGAAAATAAATCTTCAAACCATCTTTGAATTAGCAGTAAATAGAATACCTTGTCTAACATCATATTCCATTTTTAACTGAAGGGCAACTTAATATAGTCATCAGTTTATTAGGACCACTGAATTCATATCATGCACTTGTCAATAGAAATGTCTTAGAATGCCATCAGAATATATATCAAGAGGAATTAAATGCATTTGATATATCTTATAGATTTAAAATAGTCTGTCTCCCCACCGAGGTGCTCCATTTTTTGACTTCCTTTCTTTGCCATAGCAACTGCTTGAATAGAATCCTGTATGGAAAAAGATGTACCTACTGTTCTAACTCACCTTGCAAAAAGACAGTGCCTCACCATGCTTATCTTCTCCACGGGTCTGTTTTTGCTATTTAAATATTGGTAATCACCCATCATCCACTTACTACCTTATTTAAGATGTTAGACTAATATCTTAATACACAAATACAAATACAAAATTGCATATTTTCCCTCTAGGCTTCAGGGTTATTTCTCAACATGCTATATTCTTGATGTAGGCATTCTTTGAACTACTAATTTTTGCAGTGATTGAAATATATTTTTTTTTTTTTTTTTTAAACATTTTATTATTTCCTTTTTCTCCCCAAAGCCCCCCGGTACATAGTTGTGTATTCTTCGTTGTGGGTCCTTCTAGTTGTGGCATGTGGGACGCTGCCTCAGCGTGGTCTGATGAGCAGTGCCATGTCCGCGCCCAGGATTCGAACTGACGAAACACTGGGCCGCCTGCAGCGGAGCGCGCGAACTTAACCACTCGGCCACGGGGCCAGCCCCTGATTGAAATATATTTAGAGCTTCCTGTTTCCTGTTCCATATGTCAGGAACCTGGAAGTCACCCGTCCAGTCTAACAACAAGTAAAAACTGAACAGCCTGAAAAATCAACAACTCATCTTGGATCCATAAGAGAGGGGAAGACATAGGGCAAACCAATGCCCCCAAGATTGGAGAGACAGTGACTACAGAGAGTCCTGGCTTTCCAAAGCAGAGACTCATGAGCGAAACCACTCAGGGAAACCACCAGGGAAGCAATGCCAGGGTAGAAAAACCTGAACTTCGATTGAAGAATTGCTGGAGGCACAGTGTGGACAACTCAGAGTTGAAACTCCAAGGGACCCAGTCAGAAGGGGTTCCTCCAGAATTTTGTGAGATTTACCTCTAGGAGCTTGACCAGGTTCTAACAATAAATATCTAAGCAAAGGGAGGGGAAATGGAACCATTTGGAAATAACACCAGAGCACTCTGTTCTTAACAAGGCTTGCCCTCAGGGGAAACTACTTAACCAAAGCCTAACTGACCTGGAGGAGGGAAACACCCAACTCCTGCCCACTCTAGCCATCCTGTCCTACCCAAGGGGAGAGAAAAATCTGAGAAAACCTTGTGAAGTTCACAGTCCAGAGGCACAGGCTCGCTAAAAGCCTGAGACCTAATCATAGGATCATAGAATGCTTCCCCTCGTCCAACACCTCACCACCACGTTACTAAAGGCCTATTCAAGCAGTTCCTTTTACCTGGTATATTGTGTTTGTCTATCAAGAAATGTATCTGTAATTTGCCTAATCAAAGCATCAGCAGGGCTAAGTTAGCTTTTAGAAGGACCTATTAACTTGGGGGTGGGGGGCAGGTGATGTGAATGACAAAAGAGGAGACTGTCAGCCTCTTCCAACACTTGGTGTTTCAGCATGAAACCCAATGTTGTCTTAATAATATTATTTCAGGAATTCAGGTCCCAGAAATTGCCTACCCTCCCTCACGGGTCTCCCACTTACATTCCCTTAATTGGATTGATTAAAAGCCTGTTGGTCCAGAGCCAAGATTCTCAAGTTAAAAAAAATACGAGAATAACAAGTCATTTGACTAAAATCTCCAAGTAAAATGGGCCATGCCAAAGGAAAACAAAAGGATATGATACACACCTGTTGGAATCCTCCAAGGAGATCAAGTTTCTTAAGCTCAAAGATAGTCTTACTTATAGAGCACATCGTAAGGCATGGATCCAAGGGCCTATTTATCATAAGATTGCACACACTGCTTGTAGGTATGTGGACCTAATTTATAACTTTAATTGCTAAAAAGTTGGGGGTTTACTCTGTGTTCAAAAGTAAATATATATTTAATAAAAGGAAAATTAGAGTAAGGTGCAATCATTTCTTAAAAATTTGACTTGGAATAGAACATAGCATCTAAATGCAATTTATTATTCTTTGGGTTAAAGGTTCAAATAATGTTTATATCCTTTTCCCATGTATGAATTTTGAAATAGAGAATACATGTTTCTTGAATTCTCTCTCTTTCACACACATAGACACATACACACTTTAAGTTAGAACAAAGATCTTCTCCTACTAGTGAGTGAGTTGCAGGTGATGAGGTTCAGGACACAGTCTCCAAAATACGGCACCTTGGCATATTGAATATTTTAAGCTGGAGGAATTTGAGAAATGGCAAGTGGAGGATGGACTCTCTGACTCTCCTTCTCCCCTGAAGTAGGTCATAAGACCCTCATAGTGGGAGGTACCCTCCTATAGCTAGAGAGAGGAGCATCTTTGTCTCTCAAGACACCAAGAGGAATCTAAACAAACAGATCTGTTAAGTCTCCCTGTTTACTACCTTTAAACCTCATACCCCTTTGTCCTATCACATTTTTCCATAACTTTCCACTCTCCATCAAATTGGCATAAACACACTCAGGTTTATCATTCTTCAGTCTTCATTTCCTTATGAAGGCTTCCTTGTCCTGTAAAACTTACACTAAATAAATGCATATGTTTTTCTCTGTAAATTTGTCTTTTGTTACAGGGTCTCAGCTGAGAGAACTAGAATAGTAGAAAGAAAATATATCTTTTCTCCCCTACAGTTTCTGGTGACAAGATGAGATAGCAAAAGGCTGGGATACTCCACTAGCCTTGGAGACTGCAATTGAGGTCTGGGACAACTGACAAAAAGTCGAGCAGAAGTAAAAATTCTTACCATGTCAGTTTCCTGGATCTCTGCTTTGGTGGTCAGTCAGAAAGGAAGGTAAGAAATTTCTTTGCCCCTTCCTTTCTAAATTCAGATTAGCAGGAAAAACTTTTGTAAGATTAGTTCTTCGGATGCTGACTCTTGTGACTTTGGTTTTGAGAACCTGTTGGTTATGGTCCTTTTCCTCCAGGGGACAGCTATTTCTTTCCTGTTTGTTTTTGTTTTGTGTCCTGAGAGCTTCACTTGGTTTTCCACTGCAGAGTGTGTCAGGTTGTTGGTTATCTTTTATGTAATTCACCTAGGAAACAAAGATTTTTGTGTTTATCAAATAATTTTCTTGTGCTTTATGTTGGTTCTTTCTCAGGCCTTTTGATGACTTAACAAACCTTAATCTTCTTAATATTAAAAGATCTAAAGGTTTTGTTTACAACTATGTAAACTTCTGTATTTTGCCTTTAAAATCTTTATTGTCACTTTGGTTAATAGATGACCAAGATCTTATTTAATCAAAGTGTTCAAACCTTCTGACATTTTTGACAAACTTCCCCACATCAAATTCTAAATAAAATCTTTTAATTTTGAGCTAACTTTGAGATTTCCCAGATGGCCCTTGCAAAACAAACTTAAAAAGAGCCCCATATGATCAATCCTCTTCTTGCTGCATTTTTATAAATAATTAGGCAAGTTTAATGAGAATAGACTTATTTTTTGCAAAAAACATTGGGTTAGCTTGGTAGAAATGGATGGTGATTGTAGAGAAAAATTTGTTCAGTGAAAACTTATAACCCACTTTGTGAATGTTCACTATCTTTGAGCTATTTTCATTTCTTTGCAACTGGATCCTTACTATGCATTTTGTAGTATTAGTGTTTCCAATTTTTCTCCACTTCCTGACTTGGCATCACTAAAAACTAAAACTGCCCATTTCTCAAGCCTGTAGCTGAAGGGGGATGCGATGTAACTTGTAGGAAATCACCATGACAGATCATGTATGGCTACTCTTTGTGCCTACTGCTGTGTAGCCATTCAGAAAGTTCACTGGAACACCCAATGCCATCACCAGAGATATCAAACTGCAAACTGGGAAATTCATATAGATTGTAATGCCTGTCCTTACTCTACCATCTAAAGATGCTTTGAGTCCTAATATCTAGAAACCTTGACTAACGACCCCCTAGACTCAAAAACCAAGTTTATAGTTTGTTCTAACAATTAACCTTTGTTTTTTCTTTATTTCCATAGAACATGTCCCTCATTAAATGCTTGATTGCTAACACCATATAGAGGCCTAACTTATGTGGGGGAGCAGAATTGGCCACCCCAAAATATATTTCTTTGGCTTGATTTTTTTTTTTTTAAGATTTTATTTTATTTTCCTTTTTCTCCCCAAAGTCCCTAGTAATAGTTGTATATTCTTTATTGTGGGTCCTTCTAGTGTGGCATGTGGACGCCTGCCTCAGCGTGGTTTGAATGAGCAGTGCCACGTCCGCACCCAGGATTTGGAACCAACAAAACACTGGGCCGCCTGCAGTGAGATGTGACTTAACCACTCGGCCACAGGGCCAGCCCTTTGCTTGATTATTTTTAAGGACAAAAGACTCTGAAAGAACTTGACCTTCCCCAAGTGCCATAAAAGAATTTAAGATACAAGGCGTGTTCCAGGAAGGAGCTAGCACCATACAGATAACTATAGTATAACATAAACTAGGTGTGATAGACAGGGAGGGACCTAACAAAGGCTTTTTATCAAAGTCCCTCTCCATCTCTCATGTTTTTTCAAGGCATGGTAACAATTATTTATCAAACATTTGCTTTTCCCATCTCCATGTAAATTCCTTCCTCCTCTTGAAGTCCCAACCACTACCGCCAACATCCTCCTTTGTCTTTAGCTGAGGATGGTTTTTTTAGGTGGTGGCTTCAGCTATTTTGGAGAGTGGCTGAGATTTCCCTGGTTTCTCCCATGTATATATGTTATTAAACTTTGTTTTGATTTGTTCTCCTGTTATTCTGTCTCCATGTTAATGTTAATTCTTAACCAGCCAGATGGAACCTAGAGGTAGAGAAGTGGTTCTTGCTCCCCTACACTTACATGGGTGCCCTATCCCACACATATCACCACTCCTGAAATTGAGACACAACTGCTTAGAACTGACCCAATCCTAGGACTAAGAGGACTCGTTCAATGGGCTATGGACCAATCTACCAACCAAGCTTCTAGACTATCCGAACTTCTTTGGGAAAGTTTCAAAGGGATTGACAGGGTTCTAGACATGCTA